AATGATGGCGTTATTGACTAATTATAAAGTAAGTAAACAACTCTCCCGCTTAGATACCACTACTTTGTGTCACGTCAAAATAAAACTTGAAATGGTTGATGACTGTCAGTTTTTAGTGAGCATTCAGCGTGATTAAATCAAAAATATATCTTCGTGTCTGTGGCATTGTTTGCAGAGCTTTTATGATGATGACCCGAAAATAAGTTGACTATTTAAAAGAACAGCTGAACATCAGTTCACAAATAGAAAATATTGGTTACATTTTACAATAAGGTGTCATTTAATGTGTTAACTAACATGAACAAACAATAAACATTTATTACAGTATTTATTAATCTTTGTTTACATTACTTAATACAAATACAGTTGTTCATTGTTAGTTCATGTTAGTTCACAGTGCATAAACTAATGTTAACAAACAACTTTTTTTAATAAAATAATGCATTAGTAAATGTTGAAATTAATATTAACTAAGATTAATAAATGCTGTACGAACAGCTGAACATCAGTTCACAAATAAAAAATATTGGTAACATTTTACAATAAGGTGTCATTTAATGTGTTAACTAACATGAACAAACAATAAACATTTATTACAGTATTTATTAATCTTTGTTTACATTACTTAATACAAATACAGTTGTTCATTGTTAGTTCATGTTAGTTCACAGTGCATAAACTAATGTTAACAAACACAACTTTTGATTTTAATAGTGCATTAGTAAATGTTGAAATTAATATTAACTAAGATTAATAAAGTAGGTAGAAGTAGGCTATTGTTTATTCTTAGTTCATGATAAAGTAGTTAACTAATGTTAACTAATGAAACATTATTGTAAATGGTTTCCAAAATATTATTCAAATTGTTACTGCCTTTAGTTATTATTTTGGAATAAATATAAAAAAGCATACAAACACTATGAAATGTATAATTAGTATTAAATAAAATAAAAAATAATGTTAATAAAATACAAAATGCAGTGTTTCCCCTGCCATTATTTTAGGGGGGGCGGCCTGCACCCCCCGCCCCCCTTGAAGGTCATTGTTACATACTATCATTTAGCTAACAAACTTATTCTTAGTGGACAAAAAAATGCATAGGTGGCTCCACTCTATTTGACAATGGCCTTTTAGTGTGCTTTTAAAATTGGCTTTTATTAATAATGTAGTACATATCGTTCATCTGATCACACTGGCTGATCTGCTCCAAAACGCAGCATGAAGCCCTGGGTTATGTTGGGAAAAGCATACTACCGTGTGTGACACTATATCTGCAATAGACGAATACAGTATGTACGTGTGCATGCTTTTTCAGTATGCATGGAGTTCCTGGACTATACCTACTACATTTGCCAAAATCAACTTGACCGTTTACAGTTTGAGTGAGTTTCCAATGAATCTGAAGCGGTATCAGCCACGATTTTTATATTTCGACTTATTTAACTGGAATCAAAATGCAAGGTGAACATTTTTTATTTGTGATATGACGATTTTTTTTTTAGGGAACTGGTTAACTGGAACACTGAAAATAGTCAGAAATATTAAATAACACAATGAAGTAGAAAGACTGAAATATTATTGTGAAACATACTGTGTTAGATTCAAGCCAATAAGGCTGTTGTCTAAATTAAAGACTGTAATCCAAATCGTTTTTCGCTGAAAATGCTGTGCGAAACTTGAATTTTCATGCATCGGCTAAATAGTTTGGGCATCTTTGATTAATGGTCACCACTGTATAAAAATTATGAATTGAAATTGGAGCTGCGCAGTGAGTGTCTTTTATGTGATGCTTAGCTTTAGTCATGGCTGCCGCCTCAAGGCCACATCATAAACTTTCATTTGTCATGCTCGGAAATTTGAGAAACTCCATGTCCTTTTGGGCATGAAATATGTACTCTCTGTGTGTGAGACTTTTTTCTGAAGATGATAAATATTTGAAGCCTCCTTCCAAAAATCCACCTCTATAACTTTTTTTTTTCTTCATTTCGAGAGCTACAAACCATCATAACCTTGCTTACAGAGCCGTCTGATCTCTAGGCCACTAGAGGGCGCAGTGGATCTATATAAAACTGGCTGGATGTGAATACAGAAATTGCTTCTGAGAACTGAAAAAGCAATGTCACAGTACCTGGAATCTTGGATGTTTTGATCATAAAATGTGAATCACTGAACATCAAAATGAACTTGAATATGACTCACTGACAAAACTCAAAATTTGTACATTGTAAGAACCCAATTCTAAATCCCATCATCTCACATGTGACCTGTAAAGTAATCCTGGGTTAATACCTGATAATGATGCAATATCCTGTGGCTTAACAGGCATGAATGCAAGAATTTTAAAAAGCTGTGATGAAAATGTGTTCAAAGAGAGAGAGAAAAAAACGACCTTATTTCGTAAACTAATAAGTCACAACAGGTCATGTGGTACAGTGATTTTATTATTTGAAAAACACATGGCCTGTTTTGCCTTTTTGCTATGTTTAGGGCACATTATCTTCTAATGTTTTTTTTATCGTTTTCCCCCTCAGGATTCTTTGATGAATAGAAAGTTCAAATAAACACCATTTATTAAAAAAAACAATTCTTAAAGGGGTCATCGGATGCCCATTTTCCACAAGTTGATATGATTCTTTAGGGTCTTAATGAAACTTGCTAATTAGCACATTATTAGGAAAGGCGATTTGCAAAGATTCATTACAAAACCTTATACTCACTTCTTCTGTAGGTGAAGCTGGATCACGAATGATTTGGGCGAACATAAACACATTTAGGCAGATCGGGGGTGCATTCCCTTCAGAAACAAATGTAATGTGACGTCACACAGACAGGCATCTGAGATCGGCTCGATTTGAGAAAGGGGTAAAGATTTTAGTAGATAAAAAAAACCCCCACTGGATTGTTATCATTATAGGGTGGTTGTGTACACACACTGCCAACACACATTTCAGTTCAAACAACTTGTAAAAGTGCATGTAGCATCCAATGACCCCTTTAATAAAATTAAAAGTGTTAAATGTCACTTTTGATCAATTTAAAGCATTCTCACTGAATAAAATAGGTTACTTTCTTTCAACAACAAAAAAGCAAAAAAAATCTCTATATAAATATAATACATCTAACTTATAGAACATTTCCACTTACTCACATTATCTTTGTAAGTGGGGTATTCACGGCATCTGACATTCCTGAGCAGCCATACATGTTATAGATAGCAGAGGTTGAGGGAATTTTTTGTCAGCACATTTTCCAGTTTAAGAGGCACGTCTGTCCACCCATAATCAATCTGAGCTCACGGCAGCAAACAGCAACAACTGTTTGAGCAGCCAGGCATTCGGTCAGTCAGTGAGAGGAATGATATCTGAGGCTGCGTTCAGTGTGGCAGAGCAAGACCCTCAACAACACGGCCAAAAATATGCTCACAAATGACTCTTTATCTGAGAACACCATTCGAAACAGAAGGCCAGAAACACTGGCTGCATGCTGTTAAAGAGTGTCTCAACACATCTTGTGGGCTGCTTTTCAGTTACTATCCTCTCATTCATTCAGTATATATTTTTAAATACAAATACATTTCAATGAAATTCATATGTAACCACAATTTACATTGTCTACTGAAGAAGCCTTTAGATCAAAAAGTTTTTAAAATCACAATAACCAAACAATGCACTTTATATATATTTTTTGTATTAATCTTACTAAAAAAGTCGACATGGGACCAAATTGTCAAAATCAAGTTTTTCATACATTTAAACAATAATACATTTTAGTTTCATTGCAATTAACATGCAATTAAGTTTCCTAAAACATTACACTGAGTT